TTTTTTTTTCTCTTTTGGGCTTTTTGGCAACAATCGTTTGCAGCTAATTTAGTTATAAATCAATAATGGCTTGCCAATCGCCTGGGCGTTAATACGAAACACTTTTCAATTTAACATTAACATTTTGTATGACAATAAAAAAAATGGCATGAGTTGAACTTTAAAACAAAATTTCTTATCTTTTTTCTTTTTAGTTTATCACAATTGCAATTCTGTTTTACTCTTATTTTCTCATGTTCTCAAAAAGAAAGCGAAGCAAATCAAATGCCGTCGCTCACGCACACTGCACTCAGCGAAGCTTTTTTTTCGGGCCTCTAAGCGTGCTTTCAAACCTATACCTATACATAGACATAGACACACATATGCACATGCATATGCTTAGGGCACCGTTCTTTTGCTTTGCGCTCTCTCTCTTATGGCTATGCACGTTTCTTTTTATTGTCATACCGTTCGTTTCGTTTACATGCTTAACACCAGGCACATTGCAAGCCCTACAGTAAAACAGGATACAGTGAAAGAATAAGAGAATAGTATAACAGGATATTCAAAAAGCGTTTTGCAGTTGATTTTCTTTTTCTTTCTTTTTCTGTTTTCTACGTCATTGACGTTTACTTGGTAAGCGTCTGTCTCAGTTGTTGTTGTTGCTGCTGATGTTGCCGTTGCTGTTATTGTTGCTGGAGGAGGATCACACGTTGTAGCAGGAGATTTGCTGCAGTTGCTGGAATGTTGGCGCTGCCGCTGCCGTTGCCGACGTCGCCGCCGTTCCGAAGGGCACAAACGAGGCCGGACCCAAGTTGGCGCCGGCTGCTGCTGCTGCGAGGGAGGCGGCCGCCGCCGCTGCTGCTGCGTAGGGATGCATCCGATGCTGCGTGCGCAGATATTGGCGGTATTTGCCGCTCAACTTGTCTGTCGACGCCGTGGGCGGCAGCCGGTGCATGGGCGTGGCCTCAGGACCGGCCTGATAATTGCTAGGAACAGTCGCCATCGGTGAGCGGTCAATAAGCAGCGCAGTCGCCGCCGCAGCCGCCGCATCCCAAGGCGCTACAGGCGGAGGCAGGCAGTGCTGCTGTTGTTGCTGCTGGTGCTTGACAGTGCTGCTGGCGTAGCTGTTGTTGTTACCGCTGCTGCCCGATAGCAATGCGTCCCGTTTGCCGCCGGTGTTGGCAGAGGCGGCCGCGTTGCTGCTTTTTGCCGAATACAGCGACGCCGCATGCTGCAGCTGCTGATGCGTATGTGTGTGTGTGTGTGGGTGCGAGTGCGTGTGTGGGTGGGAGTGTGTGTGCGCGTGTGGGTGTGAGTGTGAGTGCTGCTGCTGCTGCTGCTGGTGTGGCGTCAGCGCAGCGGCCAATTGCTCCCATTGACTCGACGCCGACGTCGCTACTGCTGCTGCAGCGGCCGCTGCTGCTGCGGCGGCTGCGACTGAGTTGGCTGCTGCGTGGCTTTGGCTTTGGCTTTGACGACTTTGGTTGCGATGTTGCTGTTGTTGTTGTTGCTGTTGCTGCTGTCGCAGCTGTTGTTGCTGTTGCTGTTGCTGCTGCTGCTGCACTGGATACAGCGCCTGCTGCGACATTTGTGACATTTGCTGCTGTTGTTGTTGCTGTTGCTGCCGCAGCTGCTGCTGGTACGCTGCCTGTCGCTGCTGCTGTTGTTGCTGCTGCTGTTGCTGCTGTTGCATTTGGGTCTTGCGTCGCGCTGCACTGCTGCTGCTAGGCGCTGACGCCGCTGTTGCCGCACCGCTGCCCAAAGCAGCTGCGCTGCTCACAGCACTGCTGGCAGCACTACGCGCGCTCGCCGTCGCCGTCGCCTGCATATTGTTGACGAACGGACTGCGCCGCTGTGACTCCATTTTGCGGAAATAGCAGGGATGGATCATCAGCAGCGGCTCCACGCGCTGCCCGGCGGGCGGCTTTGGCTGATTGGGCAGCTCGTACTCGACGCTGCAGTCGACGTGCAACGGAATGCTGTAGTCCTTGTTGCTGCTGACTGAGCTGCTGCTGCCACTGCTGCTGCTGTTGTTGTTGTTGCTGTTGCCGCTGCTGCTGCTGGCGCCGTTGGCAGCAGCTGTAGCCGTGACATTGCTGCCGCGCTGGCTGCTAGCAGCCGCGACCTGTGTCCCAACTGCATGGCGTCCATTGTTGTTATTGTTGGCGGGTGGCTGCTGTTGTTGTTGACGTTGCTGTTGCAGCAACTGTTGTTGATGCGCCGCAACTGCAGCATGGTACATGTGCTGTTGTTGCTGCTGTTGATGGTGCTGCTGTTGCTGCAGCTGTTGTTGCTGCTGCTGCTGCTGTTGCAGCGCCGCCGACATGCTGTGCGAAAGAGACGACATGGAGGACATGTCGTAATTAGCATAACATGCAGCCATCGTCATTTTTTACTTGTTGGTTTTTTTTGTTCAACACACACAAGATTTAAAGCTTTATGTTTGTTTTTGTTTACGCTTTGCTTAATTATTCAGCATTTCATTTTATCTTCTTCTTTTTAGAGCTTTTCACTGCACTTAGACTTTGACAATTTTGTATTTTCTTTTCTTTTCTTTTTGTTTGAATTGGCACTGGTAATCCAAGAAGTGAGAGAAATAGACAGCGTTTAACTGTAATTAAAGCTGCTGTTTATCCGAGAGTGTGTGTATGTGTGTTTGTGTGTATAAGAGGAACGTTAATCCATATGCTGCTGCTGCTGCGGTTGTATATATAAATTTTTTTATTTGGAATTTGCTTTCGGTTTAGTTTTGTTGATGTTTTGTTATTTCATGTTGCTGTGTCGCACCCGTAATTCAATTATTTTCCGTTTATTGTATTGTTTAATCAGTCTTGTTTATTTTCGTAAACTATTTAAGCTGCAAATTGAGTTTGTGTTTTGCTTGTTTGTTTTTTGTTGTTGGTTCAGTCTTTATTTATATGCAAAAACACGCGTGCAGTTTATAGTTTTATTTATCATACGTTAACGACAGGCGGAGAAATTTGCCCGAACACGTCCGTTCACGTTGAGCAGCGCAAGCGAAATGAAACGAACGCTTCAGTGTTTTAAATTTCCTTTTTTTTTTTTTTGAGCATTCAGCGCGCATATGGGAGAGCGTTTGCTGAATCGGCAGAGACGCGCTGAATTGAGAGAGAGATCAATAACAGCTGTTTCACGACGCAAACATTAATGCTAAGATGTTTGTTGTTGTTTTTGCATTCGGACAATTTTTTCTTTCAACATTCATGCACAAACATACATATGTGGATGAATTTTTGTTATCACTTTTTAAAGTATTTTGCTACTATTATTCAATATTTGATGCAGTTTTCAATTTACTCAAATTGAAATAAATTTTTTATATTTGTTATAAGAAACACTTCCGAGTCCTGTTCACGCAGCCGTCTGCACGCGTCAAGCTCTCTCAAGCGACTGCCTCTCGCAGTGTGGCCCTTTTTGCTGGCCAGCATTTTACCTGCTGATGGCTATAGCTGCCGCACAGCTGATTGCCGACTGGGCCGTGACGTCGGCGCGTATTCAGCACTCACTCATACACACGCTGCTTTGTTATTGTTGCTGCAAACGCTTAAGCCAATTGCATTCAGTGGCTGTAACTGAAACACATGCCGCATCACATGTTGGCTCTCACTCTGTCTCTCTTGTATGCTCGGTGTGTCTGGCTATGTGAATGTGTGTGTGTGTGTGCCGGCTTAAGTGTTGGTGTCGTTTACAAATTCAGCTATATAATAGCCACGGCGGCCATCTTTACAACTGCTTTCGTGTTGTGCGAGAGAGCGACGTCGCTGCCTTTTTATTTTGTAATCATATTTCTGCTGCCGTTCTCGCTCTTTTGAGCGTGCGTTTTAAGTGTTGCCCTGCTTTAATTTTTATGATTTTTTTACGGCTTCGGCCTATGCGCAGTTTCAATTTTATGCGCTGCTTTGATCATTTATATGCTATCAAACTGTTGTTTGCTGCCATTTAATAGCCCTGGCGACAAGCTCTTGAGCACACACATTTCTAAGCACGTATGGATGTATGCATGGATATGCAATATAATTTTAATATCTGCTCATAAATACGCACAATGCAAATACATACATATGCACATAAATATGTATGCACACAAGCATGCATACATATTAACAAATATTCCATTTCGCCTTGCATTTTCTATCCCCACTTTACTGTTCCGCGTTTATTCCAAAGCTTTTGCTTTGCTATTTTACTGCAATTTGCTGTCATCTCATCTTTCTATTCGCTCTTTCACTCCACATTATGTACAAAGGTGCGGCATTAAAATAAAATCCCAAAAAATGAAACTAAGGCAAAAGCAAAACAACAACAATAGTCACACAGCCGAGCAACTGCAGCGCCAACGACAGCTGCCCTGTTACAACAAAACCAACAACATGAAATAAAATTCAAACTAAGCCACACGGAAACTGCGCAATGAGCACAAAGATTTTCAGTGCAAAAGCTGCCAGCCAGCAAAAGAGATTATGCCCCTTCTCCTTCCGTAGACACAGAAAAACGAACAAAGCATAAGAAGCGACAGCACACACCAGCCAACAGCAGCAGTAGCAGCAGCAACAGCAACAGCAACGGCGGCAGTAGCAGCAGCAGAACAGCAACAACAGTAACGAGCCCGCATTAAACTTAAATGTTGCAGACATTTCTGCACTAAAAACTAAGCAATTTAAGTCAGCGCCTTCCGTTCTCCCTCTTTCGCATAAGCAACACCGTCATCGTCAGTATCATCGACAACAACACTAACACCAACAGCAACAATAACAACAGCTACGTCGACGTCGTAGTCGTCGTCTGCAAGCACACACACGACACACATGCTAACTTGCATACACACATACACAGTAGACGATTACACACATTGTAATAAATAAGGAAGGTCGTTGCCATAGCAGCAGCCGCAGTTGGCGTCGTTGTTTTTTTTTTTATTATTTCTTCTACTTTTTGTTGTTAGTGCGCTGCTGTTGCTGAGCGTGAGAATTCAGCACTTGAGGCTTTATGCTCTCTCATTCGGTCTGTGTGCGTCTCTGTTACTCTCTCACTGTCTGTGTGGTTATTCAGCGCTTTTGATAACAAATCAGCTGTTTCGTGAAATACTCACACAAACACACGCAAGTCGGCAATAATTTACGAGCGCCCGAGTGCTATTCAGAAATGGGGAGGTGTGTCTGTGTCCGTGTATCAATATTATTTCGATGTGTGAGTGCTCAACTGTCTGGGTATGTGTCTGTGTGTGAAGCTTTGTGAATTTGGCGTGCCCATTGTGGTTGTTGTTGCTGTTGAAGCATATGTTTTGTTTGCGTTTCTGTTGTTGTTGTTGCTGTTTACTGTTTACTGACTGCCTGCTTGCGTGCTCAACGCCGAGTCGGCCGCATTACAGTTGATTATGGGACTGTTGGTAAGGGCACACAGGGGGGAGCTCCAATTTTTAAATTACCAAACTGCTCAAATTAAAGAAAATAGGTACGCGAAGACCGCAAGGTAGAGAGAAACAGGAAATTGCCCAAGAAAATAAGCAATGGGTAAATTGAATCAACGGTAATTAGCTTAGGCGCTGCCGCAGAATGGACACGCACACACATACACATGATTGTCACTGCGAACGTGTGTGCGTGTAGTATGTGTGTGTGTGTGTGTCAGTGAATTATGCATTTCTCTTTTCAGAATCCTCTTAACAAAGAACAAGCCCAGAGGCATAATTCTTGTTTTTGTACCATGAAGCTATTGTGTGTTCCCGTGAATTTATAACTAGTCTTAAAATAATACCATTGTATATTTTATAAATGAATAACAAAGGAAACCCTATACGATTGAATGTGGGACTTTTGCTCTCCTCTCTCTTTCTGTCCTTTCTGTCTTTATTAAACGACGGCCCGTCGCTCATTAAATCCAGCCCACATTTTCAGATTTCCTGCGAGAGACGTTCTCTAATCGCGCTTTGTCATCGCCTTGATAAAAAGCTAGTTCATCATCATTGCCGTCGTCGTCGTCATCATCATCATCATTATCAATATCCATAACTTAGCTGGCTGGATGGCCGGCTGCCTTGCTGGCCTTTCTACTACATACGTTCACATCCTTAGATGAGTCCGTCGGAAACCTGTTTGCATTATTAAGTAACCGCTCAGCTCGGCCCGGCTCGACTCAGCTTAGCCGAGTTGAAAGAAAGAAAGAACCAACCGGTTCGATCCAGGGGCTTCCTGTAATGCGCATTCTAAAGAAGAATCACACAAACAACAACAACAACAAAAAAATCCAAAGAGAGTGGAAAAAAAATGCACGAAACTTTCGTTTTTTATTTTCACGAGCCTCGTCGATTGAGGCTGTTGTTTTTGTTCTTGTTGCTCTTGTATTTATCGTGTTCTCTGTTGCTGTCTCCCTCTCGCTCTCTAGGTCTTTCGCTGTCTGCTGCTGGCCTGGGCCACGCTTGTTAATTCGAAATAAAAACAGGAAAATTTACTTTACAATCTGTGCTAAAATCGTAAATTTTTAGCTGGCACCGAGCAACGGCCAACGGACAACGGGCAACGGGCACCGACACTCAGGGGAGCGGCTCAGACGCCGCTCTGCTCGCTCGTCCGCCCTGGGCCAGGTAAGCTAATCCGCTTGCCATGGTCATATGCCGATGACTCGCCTATTTGTTCTCAACTCTGCGCTGTTATTGCTGTCGCAGTTGTTGTTGTTGTTGTTGCTAGTGTTGTTGTTGGTTTTTGTTTGCCTTTCCACGTATTCTGGGCTTGGGCTCATGCCTAGTTTCTTTCTTAGTCTTGTTATCTTTTCTTATTTAATTTTTGTCGATTTTTGTTTTCTTTTTCTTTTTTTTTTTTCTTTTCTTTTTTGGCTGCCATTGCGCCTTCTAATCTTTCCAGCAATATCATCACGCGCTCTTTAATTCCAGAGCCGTTCTCTTTTGCCGTTGCCAAGCTTTTTGGTATTCAGCGCTGCCTTTCCAACAACAACAACTGCAACACAACTGCTGGGCAATTTGCCCTCGCTCTCTGTTCTTCCATTCTCTTCGCTGAGCTTAAACCGTTGATTGATGCGTTTCCCATTCGGAATTTATGCCATGGACTATTTGGGCGAGCGCTAAGCAATTCATTTTTCAAGGCGCACACACACACACACACTGATACACTAACACACACACAGTGTGTGCTGCCATCCCCTCCAGCTGCGCAATCAGCAGCAGAGATCGAAGCGTGCGATACTCAGGAAACAGCGACAACAACAACAACAACAACAACAACAACAGCGGCAATCTTGAGGAGCTGGAAAGCGAAGCACTACTTGAACACTCCAGTTGGAGGAGATCGCGTTCGTCTCGGACACGACGTCGAATGCATCTAAATTGCTAAATACCTTTTTATGGTTAGTGCTGTTCCACCTTTCCCCTCCATTTGCCAGTTGACTGCTGCCTGCATCAATTTAACATTTTAAAAATGTATCTTTGTATCTTTGTGGTGTGGACTTCGCCGAAGTCGTTGCCTGCCTATGTATGTATGTATGTATGTATACAACTATAATGTATTGTATATACTTTAGTCCCGAGTCCGACAGCTCCTTACTGATTCATCATGGCCATTTTTGTGGACTGCTGCTGATTGCTGGGCACACATTGGCATCTTTTTAATAGCCCCCACAGGCCCATCGGGAATTATTCATTTTCATTGTATTCCGCATTCGGTCGCTCTCCAGTTGTAAACAATTTCAGTTATTTCTGTCCTCTGTGTGTGTGTTTATTTATTTTTTTTCAATATATTTTTTATTTGCTTCCACTTATGCAACTAATTGTCAGGCATTCGAGCTATTTGGCTGCCAAAAACGAGTTCCTCTCTGCACTAGGCTCAGCCCTTCCATTGGCAGCTGTCAAATGCATAATTAAACTGACCTTCGACGAGCCAATTGAAGGGGCGAGACTCTCTCCCTCTCCCTCTCTCTCTCTATCTCGATCTCCCTTTTCTCCCTGGAAATTGCAGTTATAATACTACATAATATCTACCCGAATTTTTTATTTTTTTCTGCAGTTTTGTTTTTTATTGCAAACGCTATTAAACGAATTCCCTTGAAATATTTTTGGAAACAAACCGTTGCCTGGAATGTCGCTCGGGGTTACCCTTTGCTCTAATAAAAATAAAAAAGAACGACCCTGACTGACAAAAATTATAGACATAACATAGCTTTGCTTATTTGAGGAATGTTTCCCTCTGTCGTTGTTTGTATTCGAATAAT